TTGTCCTCACGCCCTCGAGTTCTGCTCCAGGTCAAGCGAAGCCCCATTGAACTGGACCTAAGGGCGGCGGCGGCCATGGACCAGCACCCCTTTGACATCGAGAACGTGGTTTATTTGGAGGTGAATCTCCCTATTTTTTTTTCAAAAGCTGGGAGCTGGTTTGTAGGGAGGCTTAAAACCCCGGTTTGTGCCTAAACGTGGGGCTGATTTCAACCTCAGGGGCTGCAACTCCGTCCAGCTCCGACTCACAGCCCTGGCAGCACCGTCAGCGCGCCGGGCTCTCTGTTCTGTTGTGTTTTGAAGGGTTTCTTAGGGATCGGCCGCAGCCGGGGATATTTAGCAGCTGTGTATTGGTGGCGGAATCCGTCTCGTGAAAAGATCATTGGGGTAAAGAGGTGGATATGTGGGTTGGTTTTGGGTTTTTTTTGCACCTGAAAATGTTTCTTGTTGCCTTGTACTTGTAAAAAGACATTCAAATCGATAAGGCTGAAGAAGATGGCAAGAATCATAACGCCTCTGTTTCACAGGAATTTAACTTCTTGTCCTACTTTTGTAAATTACACCCTAGACAGGAATATGTTTTGTGGGTTTTTTTTTTTTCCTATAAGAGTCTCCTTGCAACCTGCTCTCCAGCTGGAAATGGGAAATGCAAAGGCATTAAAATGATAGATTTGCTAAATAAGTTGCAAACGTCTATATTACCGGCTTTCCCTCAAGCGGGGAAAAGACGTTCTGTTTAATGCTTCTTTTTGCATTTCAAATTCTCTGTGAAATGGCTTAAGCAGAGTGGGTTTGGTTTTTTTTTTTCCGGGTCTGCCCTGGGAAGGAGAGCGCCTTTAGGAAAAGGCTTTTCTGGAGGGGACGGAGAACTTAATCGCTGATGGCTATAAAAGCACGTCCTGTTTGGGTGACTTGAAAACAAAACGTGAAAATCCATGACTAGGAAAGGAGCCTTTCTCCTAATAATTGGGGGTGGTGTTTCTCCTGATTTGTCAATTAATAACGGCTCGTTCCTTACTCGTGGCTGGGGAACCTTGAATTGTTTCCCAAAGCCTAATCCAGCGGGAAGTGCCGGGGTTATCAAATTGCAGCAGATAAAATACCCGGTGAAATCGCTGCAGATGAAATAAACCCGAGCGGTTTGGAGTTGTCTCGTTCCCTCCCTCTTTTCCCAAGAAAGAAGGGCGGAAAAATAGTAAAACTCGTTGCAGCGAGGTTCAGAATGGCAAAGGGTGTACCGTGTGTGGGGGTGGGAAGCGGGTTTAGGTGTCGGTGGGGACCCCAGCAATAAACCGTAAGAGGCGGAGCCGTTTTGTGGGACTTTTTGGGCTTGTTTTTGTGTGGATATTCGCTCGTCGCAGCCCACGGGCTGGAGCCCTCCAACAGAAGTGTAAAGAAAAAGAAATATTTTTATTAGTCCTAATGCTTTGAATTTTCCAGTGTGGGAAAAGCCTCCAAAGTGTGTATTTCTGTCCAGCTGCAGAGAAATGGGTAATACTGAGCCCTACAACAGCTCGGTGGGGTGTTTTTTCCCCTGTGTGATGAGTGGTGTGGAGGGAGTTTGTACTGGAGAGTCAACTTCTGATTTGGGGCAACCGCTGTTTTAGGAACTGGTGCACAGATTGCTTATCGATGCGACTGCTGCCGCGACTCCCGTGCTTCCCGCTGCTGTAAAGCTTTTATTACTCGTTCTGAAAAGCTCTCGAAATGCGGGAAAGGAGCCCGGTGGGAAGGCCAAGGAGCCACGGCCACCACCTCCTCGGCTCCTGGCGGCCACGGCTGACCATGTTCAGCAGCATTCGAGTGCGTCAGCGTGCTCCTCCTTCCCTTTTAGCCGTCTGTTATTTGAGTTTGGGACTCGGAGGCGTTTACTGTCTTCCTGTGCTCTTTTAAGTGTTTTTTTATCAGTGTTGACAGCTCTGGATTCACCACTGACAGTACTTAGCGCTTCATCCGGAACACCCTGAAAACCATGAACTCATTAATCCAATGCCAAAGGTTTAGAAATAAATTTAACGAGATCAAGCCTTGGGATATTTAGTAACGTGATACGGAGCTCGGGCTGAAGGAAAACACCCTGAAAAAGCAGAAGAGCAGCAAAAAGACACCCGGTGGCATCGGCAGTCCCTCCCACCATCCCGGGGACGTTCTGCGCGGGGCTGGAGGCACAGGCGATGCGGCTGGGTTTCCCTGCGGGCAGTGTGGAAGGTGAGCCGCTCGTTTTTTCTTCTCAAAACCCACAATGGTTTCTCTCTCTTTTCAAACGCCCTTTCCTCCCATGACAAGGTCGGAGGGGTTCATCTCCCTGGGTGAGAATCCCAGCGTTTCTCCTTTTTTTTGGCTGAGAAGGTGGTTGCACTAAATTCCTTTTTTCAGTTTGCGGCCCGAGGGCTCCCGCGCTGCCGTCGCTCGTGCCACGCAGAGCCACTCGAGCTTCAATCCGACCTGATTTTTAAGCCGTCGCGCCATTAATTCTCCTATTTTAATCCCGAACAATCGGTCTTGTTTAACCACCGAGGTCCCACCCAGCCGGGGATACCGGCAGAGACTGTGTGGCACCACGCAGCAAAACAGACCAGAAACTCACAAAAGTAGAAATAACGAAATGTGGTCTAATGATTTTTTTTTTGTTTGTTTTTTAAAAAAAAAAGGAGTTAAAAATCCCCGTTTGTTTTCTTCCTTCCAGGGTATTTAGGACGGTGAATGCGAGGAACACGCACGTGAAATACCATCGCCCGCGGGAGGACCGGAAGGCCCCGGAGGCGTCTTTAAAGGGCAGTGAAGCCGGCAGAAGCCCAGAGGGTGACCTCCTCCCGTTGGCAACTGGGCAACTGTCATCTCAGCCGGGCAACCAGGTCCCTTTCCTCCACTGGGAAAACCCCACCCACCATCTCTCGCCTCTCTTGCCTGAGCTCTGCGGAGCGTCCACCACCACGAGGTTGCCTCCGCTCCAGAAACACCAAGATGATGTGAACCACAGAGAAATAGTTATCGTATTTAATAGCGTTTCACCCTTAGGTGATAGTCCCCTGTAGGTTTTAGGTCTTAGTTAGCCATTTTTTAAGGTCTTAGCCATTTTTGAGGTCTTAGTTTTAGACTTTAGTGTTCTTCTGATAGGAGTAAGGTTTGGTGTTCTTCTGATAGGAGTAAGGTTTGGGATTGTTCAGATAG